ACTGATGTATAAGTGTGGAAACCAAAAAAAAAAAAAAGGTCTAAATTGTAGAAATTGAACACTAAAGCATTACATATTGACTACATTTTCTCCCATAGACTTAATCTATATTTTTGTATTTTGCTAGTTATTTCTATCTATTAATTTTGTAATTACTGATTTATATTTATGTTTTATGCAACAAAACTCAAAAGATTTTAAGAGATTCTAAAAACATGGGTGCAAGCGTTATCAACCAGTTGATGAGATTTCAAGACTTCAACAACTACTAGACACTTCAACAGATATCTACTAAAGATCCATTTTCTACAAATGAAGAAAGACACTTGGAAAAAAAGTATTTGGTTGGTTCTTGACATGTGACTTGGGTGTTGATAAGCCACATGAATAAAAAATTCAAATTACTTAAGGTGTCATTATAGTGCAACTTCAAGTGGATACCATTCAAGATAGGTTTCCAATGGATAAATAATAGAGAAGTTCATAGAAAACATAAACAATACGTTATTCTTAAAAGGAAAGGCTTCTGTAGTAAGAATAGAAAGACATAATATTTTTAATACTGTTACTTTCAATTACCACTATTTTATTTTGAAGTGCATATGTATTTTGAAAAAGATTGAAGGACTCCCTTGATCTACTTTGAGAAAGTCATTTTTATATTTAAGTCCCCTTTGGAAGATAGACAAGTTTTTGTCTCATTAAATCCATAATGGAAAAAGAATTGGTTGGAAGACCTATACCAATGAAGTATTTGAGAATTTTGAATATTTACAAACTTATCTAAATCTAATTAGACACTAGATGTTGTAATTTTTGTTAATTTCATGCATAGAATTCTTGTTTGATGACTTTGATTGTTTTGTTTCTTCATAAAACTTTGAATATTACAATTTCTATTAATTTCATACATAAGATGTTATAGTTTGCATTAATTCATTGCATAGAATTCTTTTTTGAGAAGTTCGAATGTTTTGTTCTTTTGGAAAGAAGATTTAGAATTCATCCACAAAATGTTTTTTTTTAATAGTAGAATGCTTACTTTCATAATCTCTGAATTTATCTTGTATTGTGATTTTATTTGTACAACATATGACATGAATTTTTATTTGCATCTTTTGTTTTGTTTCTATAAGTAACAATTAAAGGAGTTATTACTAATTTTAGTCTCTCTAATTCATCATGTGATTTATAATGCATTAAGTTGACATGATTATTATCATCAACATTTCTCTAATAGACCATATAGGATTTCAGTATTAGAGGGTAAAACATATATTATGAAAATAATTGAAGGGAATATAACTGTTTATTTTGAAATATTTTGCTTGAAAAAACATGTTTTAAAATTTATTTGATAGTTAAAAAATTAGGGTTTTTTACATGATCAAGATGGTGTATTTATAGAAGAAGAGGTAGCAATGTTTTTAATATTTTAGGTCATAATGGTAAGCATCAAACTATGGTATTATTGATATTGTTTGCTTTAACACATTGGGTCACTGTTATAAAATGTGTCAATAGGGGTTATAAAATGCATCAATAAGGGTTAATGGGTGTCATATTCACCCTTTAGAACTCAACATTCTCATTAAGGTTGTTTCACCACTATTCAAGAGATTATGCAAGGCAACTTTGATACCATGTATAACAACTTAACCCATTATGATACTATCAACTTTAGTCCATTAGACCTCATAATCTTAAAACATGTTAATAAGAGTTAACAGATATTGACCTATATACTCAGCATCTCTCTCATGGTTTCTCGATGTGGAATTTGCTTAAAGGTGTTACATAGGAATTATAATTATATGCACTCAAGATTGAAGAAATGTCCAACCTTTGTAGGAAATCCTAAATCATATTCTTATTTTAAGGTATGATGTATACATTAATTTATTTATGAAATGTAATTGATTTATTTTGATTTTTAATTGTTAAAGTATGATTGATGTAAATAATTTCAAATCATATAGGATTGTATTGGAGTAATTAATGGGACACAAATCTCTACATAGGTTCCAACATCAAATCAAACTATATTTTGAAATAGTAAACACAACCTAACACAATGTTATGATAGCTTGTTCCCATGATAAATACTTTTCATTTATGTGTACTAAATAGGGAGGATCAGTATATGATAGTTGAGTTTTCTCTAATATAGTTTTAGATCCAAATTCAAGATTTCCTATGCCACTAAAAGAAATTATGTTTTGAACTTTTTCTAATTATTTTTCCACTACGTTAATATTTAGAAATTTTCTAAATAATTTTTACTACTTGTATTTAGAACTTAAAAATTAAAATAAAAATAAAAAAAATAAAAAAAAAAAAAACACAATGAGGTTAATATTATGTTGTAGATATTGAATATTCAATTATACTAGAGTTTTTGACATCATATTAAGAACAAAGATATCATGCACATGATTTTGCACAAATACATCATCCAAGTGGGAAAAAAGAATTATTCAACATGAGACATTTTATGGTTTAAAATGTAATTGAGTGTGACAGGTTTTGGCAACTTGTAAACCTTGGCCCAAGAGTTGTTAAGCCAATGGCAAATTTCAACCCAAATTATTTCACATTTTGACTTTGACGTCTTCTTATCCACTTAAAAAACAACACTATCTACCAAATCTTATTACACTATCTATAATTTTATTTTAATGGATTTTATTTTAATGGAATATGAGATGGATAGGTTGTCTGCAAATGGAATAGAATTTATACATTAAGTAAGGAGGAAAGGCATGTAAGTTGAGGAGCCAATGGTATTGAATTTAAAACAAACTCTTTGAATGATACAAATTAAAGATGCAATTACTATAGCTTTGTGGAATCATTATAGGTAGAATAAGTATTAATAAAAACTATTTTAAGTAATTTTTTATTTATTTTCTTTTTCCTTTTTAATTTTTATTTAGATTTGTGATAAAAAAAAACAATTTATTTATTTATGATTTTTTAAAGTTTTGATAGTTGTTTGCAACAAAAATAATATTAAGAGTAATTTTTTAAATTTATAAAAGTGAATGGGCTAAATTATATATAAATATTTTATCTTAAAATGGAAATCATTTCTATTTGCCAAATATATCTTCAAAATTTTCGCTTTCTAATGAACATGAAAAGGAAAACTATTTTTTTTAAAAAAAAAAAAGGAAAAAGGAAAAAGGAAAATGAAAAAAGTTTTTCTCACCAAACACAAGCTTATTTTTAACACAAGATTTACTTATAAGTAAGTTGTGCACTGATATAAACAAACCCTTACTTTGCTCATAACTTGCTTCTAAGTAACCTTCCTTTTTTCTTTTTTCTTTTTTTTGTTATAAGTTGTATTTCTCTCTAAGTAGGTTTTTTCAATTTTAAGAGATAAAGAATTGCTTATAAACAACTTTGAGGAAAAAAATATGTCAAACACTCGTATAAATGATTATGAGTTTTGGCTTTTATATTATAAGCCTTGAAAATGAATATTAGCATAGAAGAAGGCATTTGAATAATGAAAAATATATCTTTTGTTATACAATCCAATATCAAAGGTTAAATGTATCATAAAATTGAATAAAGCCACCATTAATGTAATTGATGAATTATATATACTTATATATTGTGTGTGGTCTCAGTAGTTGAAGTGACTTTGTCACTAATATAAAAAGCTATCACACCTTTATGATAAGAGTTTGAATCTATGCTGTCCCTTCCTTATAGGTTAAACCACTTGCTCTAATATATCAAAAAAACTATAATAAAAAATATGATAAAAAATAATAATAAATGACTGCATGTGTTTTATAATACTATTCAATAAGAAAGAAACAAAGGGAATATTAATGTTATTCTTTTGTATTAAGCAACTATATTTTATAAATACTACACAAGAAAATATAACAACATCACATGCACAGGTGGTTGAAAAGAATACTTAATTTTAATAATAATAAAGAATTACGTACTTAATTATAATAGTATATCAATTCATAATTAGCATACACAACTTACGATGTTCAACCACTTAAAATAATCAATTCCTAAATTTGAAACTTTTGTACATTCATGAATATTAAAAGTGAGATTACAAAATAAAAACATACCACATAAAAAGATGATTGAAATCATGTGGCCAAATTTTTCTTGGGATTATTTGATAAAATTATAATCAAAAGTACCTCAATTTGATTTATTTAATGTATTATTGTTTATTATTTATTATTTATTCTAGTAATAAAAAAATATTCTTTATTCTTCCTTGTTATTTTTCTAATAAGGAATCAAACTTTTAGCATAAATAACTTGATAGCTTTACAAACTTTCATTTATAAGCATCAAATAAAACTTTACATAAAAATTTTAGTTTTACAAATTAATATATATTTTTTTTAATGACAATGGATAGATACGAATATATTTCATAATATGGTTATTTTATTACTAAATAATAAGAAACTATATGGTTGTTTTATTGTTAATTCATTTAGAAATATAGAAGAAAATGCTACAAAAGATTATTGAAAACAAATTAATAACATATTTAATGATCATACACCTCATCCTACTCTTAGGGTGAAAACGCTGCCAATACAAGGAGCCCTCCTTTATGAGACTTTAATATAGGTTGTTACCAAAGAAATCTTTTGTATACTCAAATTACACTCAACTATACAAAATTAATTATTGATGGGGGAGTGATTTTTTAAATGTGCAACCGTGTTTCTTATTAATGGATGGTTTTTTAACTATTCCGCTTGTACTCTTTATTACCCAATAAAAAATCTTAAATATCCTCTTCATAAAAATAATATTAAATCTCTTTTTTATATAATGAATAAAGAAATTTATTAATAAAATAAAGAGTGAATAGTTTAATCTTATATCTTAAATTAATAAACAAAAAAAAAACTTAATCACGTGATAAGTAAAAAAAGTTGTGCTCATAAAATATTTGGATGATTAGGTAGATACAACCCAACTATTTTGCTTAGGTTCTTAAAGATCATTGTAGGGGCAATAACACAACTATTTAAGTAAAAAGACTATCATTGTGAGTGGTTTAAGTTACTAAATAATCACAATTGCTATACGAGCTTTAGGAGAGAGCCAATTACTAGCATACACCTCTTGACCATGTCGACAACAACCGAGACAAGCACTGTAACCCATTCAAACCCAACTATCGCATTTGCATTGCACTCATTCCTCACCTGAGCATGACCCAAAGAAACATTGAAAATTCAAGTAAAGGCCCTTATAAATAAGAGAGAAACTATTACAAGGGATAGAGAAATAGACAATCTCACCTTATTATTCATCCTTCCTAACCATTGAGAGGGATAAAGCTAGCGACTAGAGAAGGAGAGCAAAAGAAAATGAGAGGAATCAAGAGAGAGGGAGACTAGAGAGTGGCCAAGACTTTTTTATACTTATCTAATTTTAAGGGAGGGGAGAGAAAGTTATTATAATCAATTCAATTACGGCGTTGAATAAATTGTTTTATTAATCCAACAATGTAGATTAATCGGTGAGAATAATTTACGTTGAAAAGCTTAAATACTTATCGGTTTTGTATTAATCGCAATCACTTCAGCTCATGATTTAATAGTGCTGTTACATGATTTAATAGTGCTGTTACAAACTTTATCAAGCAGTTTAATGGATCGCGCGCTTTATTGAGAGAGGTGGATATTCATTGAATTTGAAGATCAAGTCTCAATTACTAACAATTAATAAAAATTAATTTACTAATCATTGTTTTTGTAAAAAAAAATAAAATAAAAAATAAAATAGGGCTGTTTCAAACGTCAAAATGCCCTTAATTACCTTCCCATTGATATTTCGCAATCAGCGGACTGATTAGAAAATATTTTTTTCGACACCCTATTTACTATTTAATTAAATTTTTTTGACAAAGAATCCTACGGTTGAAATTTGACCTTAATCAAACTAGCATCACAGTTAAAAACAAACACGACCTCAGTCAGGCCCAAATAAATCTTCATGATTCATCCTCAAGCAATCCCAGATTTGGTGAAAAGGGCATAACTTCCCCTTAACGCCAACTTCGATTCAATCACCACAATTTTGGTATCTTCCATTATAATAATCTTCGCTTTTCCTTGCAACTAGAAAGACAGAGACTTGATCTACCTATAGGCACAGTGTTTTATCCATCTCCCCCATTGGGCATAGATCTCATCTTGCAAGACGACTGTATGGGGACTATGTTCTTTAGAAATTAAGCTGGGTAGTTAGCTTCTGATGTACCAAAAAAAAGGAAAGACGCAGACTTTACTGTGGCAATCACCGAAACCGCGCAAAAATAAGTGGTTTAGCAGTTGAGCTCAAAAGCTAATTTGATTTAGCTCATATTTTATTCGCATTAAATCTTTGCTAAATTTAGGTGGACAACCCAATAACGACAACTCTAAATCGGACCATTTGGCCAACCGGGTTTTGTATGATGGGACAGCAGAAGTAGGTGGATCCAGAAGCCGACATATTGTGAGATAAGCTTCCCGTGGAGGTCTCCTAGCGTTAACATTATTGCTCTGCCTTTATTGGAGGAACTAGGAAGCTTCATTGTGTTTCTCTGTGGCCCTCCCAATGGTGTTTTACTAGAGTTTTGGGGTAAGTTCTCTTTTGGGTTTTCTTTGCTTTTGTTGAATTCCATCTGGCTGGGTGAAGAGTTTCCTCCAGGATGTCCAGATTTGTTGTTCCTACTGTGTTTTATCTGGGTTTTGAGGTTGGTCATTAATATTCATGTAAGTGGTGAAATTCTTTTTTGTAATTTGAGGTTGGTTTTTCTAATGAGGTTGTTCTTTGTTTCTTTATGAAATTTCAAAAGTTTCTGATGTGATTCTTCTCTTGTATTTCAGACTGTGGAAGCAATTTTCCTCTTTCACGCTTCATGTTTTTGTTTTATAGTCACTCTTACTTTTATGATATTTTAATAATTCTGATATTTTTATTCAGAGTTACGTTTATCTTCTAACACGGTAATATTCTATCAGTGGCGTTGCTTCCGTTCCTGGTGATGTTACTTATGAGAAGAAACTACCTTCTTTAGTGTAACCTTTCTCCAAATCTATAAAACCTCTCATCCCATTTCTGAAATTTTGACTTGAAGTTCTATTTCTTAGTTTTCTTCATTTTTGCTCCAAAAACATGATCAATTTACATTAATTTCAGCCACAGTTCTTAGGTATAATTTATTGTTGTTAAAATGAATCTGAATCCCAGTACGTATCTCTTCAGTATCTGAATCTGAATTTTTGGTCTTTCCCGTACATATCATGATTCTGCATGTATTGTTAAACAGTGCAACAAGGATTTGATTGCTTTCCAGTTCTCTATAATTTGGAAGATCCATGTGTCTGTTGAGTCAAATGACCATTTGAATTATAATACTTCACCTTTCACTTATGTCAAAAGGGCCATAGAATTTTAATCTCTTTCTTCAATTTCAGTGAAGGGAAACCACATATCCAGAAGATCTTCATCTCATTTAAATTTGCTTCTTTTTCTTGCAGTTAATCTGAATAGATTGAGGTGCTGCCATAATTGATTTCCCATTATGGCATCTCGCCCTGCCTTGCTTCTGTTTCTTGCTCTTCTCTCTGTAATTTCTGCTGTAGAAGTTGAACATGCTACAATTACAATTGATGGGAGTTCGACAATTGCTAAAACTGATAATGATTTTGTTTGTGCTACACTTGATTGGTGGCCTCATGACAAGTGTGACTACCACCACTGTCCATGGGGTTATGCCTCTGTGATAAATTTGGTGAGACTTAAGAAAAACGATTCTATTTTTAAATGATTTTCCCTTCAATTTTCTTGTACACATTTTATTAAGTTTCTGTTAAAATTGAAGCAGTTCCAATAACAACAACTTTTTTGGTGCTCACAGAACTTGTCTCATCCTGCTCTTGCCAAAGCTGTCAAAGGTTTGTATTTCTAGAAAGTAATAATGTCACCTCCTTTTTCACATATAATTCTACGTATATTCAACCTCAAAGAATTGAAGCTGTCTACTCATGATACTTTTCATGGTTGTCTTTTGTTATTGGTGGAAATCTTTTATGTGAAAATTAGTATTACTCTTTTTGCAAATGCCAGCTTTTAACCGTTTGAGGATAAGAATTGGAGGATCTTTGCAAGACCGAGTATTATATGATGTTGGAAGTTTGAAGACTCCCTGCCATCCCTTTCAAAAGATGAAAGATGGTATGTTTGGATTTTCAATGGGATGTTTACACATGAATAGATGGGATGAGCTGAACAAATTTTTCAATGCAACCGGGTAGGACTATAGCCTTCAAACTTCTTTTCCTTCTCTCTTGCCCTGGTAAAAATCATAATATGTGTGTCTGTGTTTATTTACATATAATCTAAACTGTGATAATTAAAGGTGATTTCATGGTGAAGGTTTTAGTTGAATATGTTCTATTATTTGAATATAATGTGCTGCTCTTGAAAGAGACAAGATAATTGCAATGTCATCCAAAGTGCAGGTTGGATTAATTTTATCAGATGTAACAAAGAATGATTCTGTAAACAGTTACATGAACAAAATGAATTTTTCTTTTATCTAACAAAATGTGATTGTCAGGAAAGCATTTCTAGTTCAGTCCTGCATGCTATATTAGTTCGCTAAGCTTAATTATTTTGTAAAGGGTGCTGCTCAAAGTTTCCTTCAAAAAGCTGGGTCTTAGAATAGATGATAGAGTATGATGCTACCCTTGAACATCTTGTATGAAACATGAATTTGCATTCCAATATACTTGAACCTTTTATGCTTATTGATCCAAGACATTGTCTATCTCACAAGAATAGGCCCCTGTATCCCAAAGTAGATTGTCACCTGCAGAGACCTTCATAACTCGGAAGTTGTTTCCTTGGATTTGAGATGTCTTTCTGACAGTGTTCTTGATTTTCTACTTTGCCAAGATTGAACACTAAACTTCACATTGATTTATAAAATCTTAAGAGATACTTGACCCTTCATTAGGATGCTTTTATTAGTTTTCCTATGTGAATTTGAGTGGAAAAGACTTTGTCTGCAATGTTTCATGCTTCACTGCTGTTGCCCAATTGTTTGATAAACCATTTGAATCTGTTTTATAAATTTTCCCCTAAATTCTCTTTCAAATTGTATAGAATGTTGAAAAGATATTTCAGTTTATTAATGTGGCATGCTTAATTTTCAAGATTTTGCTGCTTCTAATGTTGTGATTATCACATGAATTTTACATCTTTAGGGTGATGGTGACATTTGGCTTGAATGCGCTTAATGGGAGGCAGCAACTTAGGAGGAATCTTTGGGGTGGAGATTGGGATTATACTAATGCCCAAGATTTTATGAAATACACCATTTCAAAGGGGTACCATATAGATTCATGGGAATTCGGTATAAAATTTTTAGACAAAACACTTTTGTTATAAGTATCTTTTCCCTTTTCCTTCACCTACATTATTGTCTTCACTGTTTCAGGTAATGAGTTGAGTGGAAGTGGCATTGGAGCAAGTGTGGGTGCTGAACAGTATGGAAAAGACGTGATAAACCTTAAGAAAATAATAAATAATTTGTACAGCAACTCTCTGTTTAAACCGTCACTTATAGCACCTGGAGGATTCTTTGACAGGCCGTGGTTTGCAAAGCTATTACAGGTCTCAGGTCCACATGTAGTCGATGTAATTAGCCATCATTTATATAATTTGGGTGCCGGTGAGTTACTATAATGCCAAATTCTTTTTCCAGTATGTATGCAGAAAACCTAGTGCTTGATAAGGAGTTTAAGAGTGCTGTGCATTGCACATGGCAGTCACATATATGTTCTCTCTCTTACAAGATGAACATGTGAATATTAGTGCCCAATGGGCAAACATGACTAAACAAAAGTGCAAACTAACACATTCAAAGTTGAACCAATCTTTTTTATTTCAGGTGTTGATCCCAATCTTGTGAGAAAGATATTGGATCCTGAATTCCTGAGCAGGGTATCAACAACATTCAGCAATCTTACAGACATCATAAGTGAGAATGGACCTTGGTCTTCTGCATGGGTAGGAGAATCTGGTGGAGCCTACAATAGTGGAGGTCCTCATGTGTCAAACACATTTGTGAACAGCTTCTGGTAAAAGCCTGGTGCAAAATTACTTTCCTGAACACTTCTATCTCCTTTAATTCTCAAGTTTTTATAACTTAAAAAGATAAATTCACTTCTTGTATTGTATATTATGGTTGGTATGAATGCTTAACTGCCCCTTTTTGTTTTTCTTTTTCTTTTTCCATTCTGCATGATAATAGGTATTTAGATCAGCTTGGAATGGCATCAAAGCACCACACTAAAGTATATTGCAGGCAGACTTTGATTGGTGGGAACTATGGTCTCCTTAACACAACAACATTTCTCCCCAACCCTGATTATTACAGGTAAGAGCTTGTACTTAAATTTCTCTCGTAGAGTGTACATGATAGCTTCTTCTCTTTTTCTCTCTTGTTGATGCGGGGTAGGGAGGGGGCCAGTAAAACAAAAAAGGATATTAAATATAAGATTTGACTTTGCTCAACATCTCTAATTCTCTCTTTGCTTGGATCTATGGTTCTGAACAGTGCACTTCTATGGCATAGACTTATGGGAAGAGGTGTTCTAGCTGTTGATAGTGATGCTTCCCCCTTGTTGCGCTCTTATGCACATTGTACAAAAGGAAGAGTAAGTTGCTTTGTTATTTTGATTTTCTTCCATCATGGCAATGCAAAAGCTTTGACTATTAGGACAACAATGAAAAAGGATCAGATCTTTGATTACTTGGATATGGTCTGTCTTTAATGATGATGAGAAGGTTATTAGATATCAGATTGATTACAACTGACAAGCATAAACCAGTAATTAATTTACTGATAACTGATCAAGTTCTGGCATTCATTTAGGCATATAGACTCATAGGCAAATCTATCTATTCCAATTATTGCGATGAACAGTGCCATTTTGTAATATTCAAGGGATTCTCAGGCATAACATTGCCTGAGGTCACATCTAGATTTTGATTATGCATATGCTTCACACCTCATCAAACCTTCTTCAACTATGTTTCGTGGAAAACTTATTCCTCTTTTCTTTTCCATTTTTTCCTTTTTCTCCACCCTTCTGCTAGTTTCATCAACATTTCAACCTTTTTTGTCTTCTGAAATCATCCCGAGTACTTAATTATTGATCTTGCATTTTCAGCATAGGCATCAAGATTGCTGAAAGTTTTGGAATTGTGGCCATAAGGGAAGAATATGTCCTATTGTTCTCATGAAATAACTGTATTTGT